TAAAAAATTACTAATTTTCTTCGACAAAAAAATCTCATTTTCAAGACAAAAAATTCTTGAATCAAGACTTTAAAACTAACTCTTTAAGCCTTCATGTGTAATAATTTAGCATAATTATAATTACAATTAACATGTAATGTAAACTCTTTACTAATATAAATTTATATTATTGCAACATAAAGTGATCCTGTTATTGGCCAGTAGGCTGTTGGGACTGCAATAAATAAAATAATTTTGTTATTAAATCAAAAATACTTCCTTTAAATCTAGTTTTTTTTTTAAGATCACGATAAATAAAATTTCTTCTATTTACTTTTTCCATCAATTTATAAAACTAGTATCTGTAAAAAATCACAACAAAAACTCTTTTTACTGTGTAATACCACAAAAGTCTAACCACTCAGAACAAGAACCTATCTTATAATCACATAATGCGATAATTCGATACTTAAGAAGCATGGGGGCGATAATTTCTCGACTGTAAGCAAAAAAAGGCAATTATCCGACTTACAAGGTGATTTGTACACATAAAATCATTCTTACTAAGTGATCAGGTGTTACAAGCTGATAGCCGTGTTCAACATTTGTTGCTTCATCTGAATCGATACAACAACATCGCGGTTTTTAGTTAACTACAACTATAATATAAATTACAACTCTTACTCCAAAGTTAACATCCACGTACACGAAACATTTCTCGGTCTCTCTTTTTCACGTGGGCGAAGGTAAACGTCCATTCATAATACTAGCTACGGGAAGGACGTTCTTACATTCCTTAACACTTCACATGCGAATATAATGAAATAATATAAATATTATAAATACACATATATATTATTAATATTAATATAAATGAATTAAGCTGTGGACGTGTCAAGTGGCCGTGGGTTATTGATTGGCATAATTTATTGGAGTTACACAAAGTCAACCGTTTAGCGATATAATTATTGAGCTGTCTGATTTGAAATTAATTCTAGTGGAAAAGAATAATTGTGGGCATTAATTAAATATAATTATAATTGATATTTGATTCAATTATCGCTATTTTATTTTATAGTTATTGTTATTATTTAATGTTTATGTTTCAGACTATGGCACAGCTGAAGACGCCTCGACGCCTCTTGCAGACGACACTAATGGAAAAATTCAAGTCGGGGATCATAGACGTGAAAGGAGGTCTCTGTCTGAAAAAAATTATATTGACTACTATCCAATTAGCGATAATAAAGAGGAGCGATATCGCAGACTCGATGAGTTTATCCGGCATCAGAGGGAGTATTCAAGTCGAAACCAATTGTATGATGATAGGTAAATATTTATTTTGTAAATTAATTTTAATTTAACTTTACACAATAAAAAAATGATATTTTATTTTTTAAAAAAAGATTTTTATTAAATTTAGAAAACTTTTGTGCATTGATTTAATATAAATATTTTAAATTGAACCACAAAAGTGGTAATAATTAGAATAAAAAATTTTTTTGTCGCAATGACGGAAATTTCTTAAGTGTATATTAGAACGATATTATTAAAAATCGTAGAAACGAGAAGTGAATTTTTTATTTTTTTTATTTTAAGAAAAAATAAAATTAGTTAATGTTTGTGTTAAAATTTTTAAGTAGTATTTTTTGATGAAATCTCTCTGTAATAATTTATTTGTTAAAAAATTGCCATATAAAAGTTAATTTCAATTACATTAAAGCAATTAATTTTATTTAAATTAACTGCCCGGGTCAAAAAATTTAGTCTGTTTTATGATTAATAAAAATTTTTAATATTTTTCATTCAATTTAATTATATTACGTGTATCTATTTTACATAAGAATTTAATCTGTTTTTGCCCGTACTATTCCCAATTCAGACCAATTTCAGATCATTTTTAATGTTATAATAAAATTGTTTTCTATTGTTTCAAGACCTTAATAACTGGTTTTGATCGCATCAAGGTCAAAAACAGACCAAAACGTTCCATAATTTTTAGTCGGTTTTTGATCGCCTGTAGATCAAAAACAGACCTTTTACGAATTAGATAATAATAATAATAATAATATATTTATTTATTTATTATTTTATTCATGTCCTCGAAGATCCTCTACAGGGCACAGCTTTTCATTCTCTGAAATTGAAATAGTGACTATTCACTATTTCGTAGTGCAATGTATACCAAGCGGTATTCTTCGCACTACCAAATAATGAATACCGCTCATTAAATGATGCGTGAAAGTATAAAATTTAAGGGTAGGTGTCGTTTACGCATATCCCGATGATACATATGTATCAATTACCCCAATCCCGATGATACATATCCCAATTATTCAAATTTCGATTACACATATACCCAATGATACATATGTGCAATGATACATATCCCGATGATACATATAATAAAACAAAACAAAATCGCTGATAAAAATAGGTGGTGTCTTATTTTTTACCGGGGATTGTAATTATAATTTTAATTATATGTATCATTGGGATATGTATCATATGATACATTGCACATATGTATCACTAGGTATATGTGTAATCGAAATTTGAATAATTGGGATATGTATCATCGGGATTTGGGTAATTGATACATATGTATCATCGGGATATGCGTAAACGACACCTACCCAAATTTAACATTAATCTTAGGTCATCTTGTCAACATTTTATCTTGTCGATGTATTCACATTGTGTTTAATAACGATAATTAGAAAACTCTAGATTTAGATCCATAATCAAACGATGAGAACTATTTTACATACGTATGTTAATACAAATTTATTAGTTATCAAGTTATCATTATCACTGCAACTAATATTCGCAGTTACAAAACTTTTATAATCCATGAAATGTTAAGCTATGACAAATAAATATGACAGATGTAAGGTTATAACCGACGTTCAGTTCATAAAACAAGAGAGTGCATGAATATATTATAAATTAATTTATTTTTTCAAATAAATGCGACTTATAATTTTTAATGAGATACTTTTGAGTCCAAAAAATTATAAGTCACCCACCTTAGATTAGCGCACCACCTTAGTCGACTTTTAGCCTTCGAACATTTAGAGTGAAAATTATAGAACAAAAACAGTATAAGACTTCATATAAAATTTGAAAACATTACATAAAGTCCATCTACAAATTAACTAGACTAAAAACCGATCAAACTTTTAAAACTTTTTAGTCTCATTAGATTAGAAACAGCATAAAATATTCATAGCTGCTCAATTATTTTACTAAAAAGTTATTTAGACTTAAAACAGATCAAAAATAATTTGAACAGTAGATCAAATACTGAAGAGAATGTTTTTAAAAGTTCAGATACAGACCAATAAGTTCGAATGCAGATCATTTAGATTAAAATCAGTTTAAATTTTTCGACTCGGGTGAATAAACAAATATTAATGGTAATTATTTACAAGTGGGATCAACGATTTTAATTTTAATTTTTTTGAACGAAATTTCTATTTGATATTATTGATATATCATATTGTTAATTATCACAATTTTAACAAATTTTCAAAAAAATTTATAAATATTTTAGAAAATTATGATATTCAACATTTGTTTTTTAATTGTTCGTTTTTTTATGTACTTTTCAGAAAAACATAAAAAAAAGATAAGATAGAAATTTTATCCATAAACATGAGAGCCAAAATTTTTTCAACTTTTCAAGGCAAAATAGCTATCAAAATCTTTATTTTTTTCTTCTACGACATTTTTTATCATAAATGCGCCGTAAAAACAAGCAGAATAAAAAAATTAAAAAATGTAAATTTTTCACCTAGATATGGCCAAAAATTGGATGAACCCCACTTGTAAATAATTACCAAAAAATAATATTCATTAAAGAAAAACTTCGCGAAGTAAATTTTTTATTTAATAAAAAAAATAAGATTACTTAATATTCGTGTAAAAATTTCCAAGTAACATTTTTTGATGAAATCTCTCTGCAATAATTTATTTGTTGAAAAATTACCATATAAAAATATAAAATATAAAAGTCAATTTCAATAACATTAAAGTAACTAATTTTATTTAATTGAATGCAAAAATATGAATTTATTATTTTTCACTTTTTACGTTCAGATTTCTCAACAAAAAAAATATAATCTTCATAAAACTTCAAAATTTTTTAAAAAGTATAAAAAGTATAATCAATATTTACAAAATGACTTCAGATAACTTGTTAGAAGTATTTGTAAGTAATTTCGCACATGAAACTTGTCCCAGTTAAATAAAAATTTGTTTAAGCTTAATAATAATAATAAATTAGAATTTTTTAATTGTCATAAATAAATTAGAATTCGATAAAATCACGTGCTCGCTTATAAATTTTATTGTATTGATTTTAAAGCCAATAAAAAAAAAAAAGCACACATACATATTTATATAACACGAAATGAAATGAGTTAATGTATAGCGTAGCGAATTAAATCTGAGAGGATAATCTCAAACTGTCATCGTGCACGAGTGTACTTAACAGTATGTACATATAAGTATAAGCATATAAAGTCGAAAGTGTTAAAATGGGTGCGGTTGAATATATAGTGCGAAAAAGTAAGCTAATATTATTCTCAAAGCAACAGAAATCCCTTGGCGCCAATATCTAACGTACCAATGAGTTGACTCAGTTTACTTGTGAGTGGTTGCTTTGATAAATTGTCCTCTTGTATATAATATAATATGTTTGTATATACGTATAAATATATAATATACAGTACACGCTTCAATGCTTAGCTCGCTATCAAACGTATACGACATATGGACAAGACATTTTTTAATTTTTTAAACCGACCACCCGCGAAATATTTATCTACGGCAATAAATATAAATAAATAAATTTACACTTAGAATGTACTGTTGATTATTATTTAACTTATTTATTTATTTATTAAATATTTCTGATATTCTGTTGGTAAATATTATTTTTAATCCAGGAAAAAAAAAAGGTAAATTTATTGTATGTATATTTGTTGGAAGACATACATAGTCTTCGAAATTAGTAAATGTACATAAATTTGTATTTAGATTGTGCAAATACAGGAATCATAAACTTATATATGTAATGAAATTAATACGTCAATAAAATTTGTATAATAGTTTAAAATTAGCATTAAAATACCAAAGTTTATTTTAACATTTATTGAAACTTGAATTTAATCATCAAAACAAAATATAAACAGGAAAAGTTTATCAAGATAACTTACAATAAAAATCTGTAACCTATCGCTTTAATTTTATGTTTATTTAATTAACGATTCTGATCATAATTTTGTTTTTTTCTTAGATCCAAAAAAAATATCGACGAAGAAGAAGACCTAGATGAAGACGACGACGAAGAAGAAATGATGACCGACAGTAACAAAGAATCATTGGATATAAACGCAGCTTGGAGATCGAGACGCGCTCTTCCGAAGGAATATTTTATTGAAATAATGGTTGTCGCGGATGCTAAAATGATTGAATTGCACGGCGTCGGTCTTGTCAGCTACATTTTGGGTCTTATGAACACGGTAAGTCCAGCTTACATTACATTGTACTATATTGTATTAAATTAACTACTTATAAGTTTATCCGAACGGTAGAATAATAATTACGATGTTGAATTAACGTCACGATACGCCTAGTCAGTTGCATGCATTGCATTAGCGTGTCTCGCTGATTAGCAAATCGATTTGAAGTATGCCTCTTTTTATTTTCTTAAATCAATTATTTCTTCGCGGCTTGACGTAATGACAATACACGGAATATAAATCTTTCTTACGACTTTTCTTTTGTTTAAAGATCGATCTACGGACAATCTAAATAGTTTTAACAGTCGACATATTTATATATTTAAAAAAAATGTTAATTTCAACATTTCTTTGTAAATTATTTAAAAATTAATGTCCTTTTTTCATAATCTTGCAATTTTATCTTTGATACTGAAACTAAGCGGCATCTATAATTTTTTAAAATTTTTCTAATAAATAAGTTATTAGAAAATAATTTGGATAAAAAAATCAATGCTTAAATATTTTGAGAAATTATCTATATTATTAAGAGAAGAAGAAAAATTTTGTGTCCAGGATAGTCAGATAATAAAATTGGTTTTTGTAGTGAGATTTAGTGTCATTGCAAAGGTCTTCACTTGAATTTGTGTCTTTTCAAGGTTTCATATCATTCTCACCGATAGTCAATTTATTATGCTAAGTATTTAAGCTGCATTCAAAAATGCTCTATCTCTATAGATACATAAATAACAAATGACCTTATCTTGTGAATTATTGACATTTTTAAAGATATAAGCTCATCCCGATGTTACACTCATCAAGACCTTCCATTTGAGTACCCACATCAATTTTTCATATATTTACATATATTATATATATGAATATATGAAAAAATATCAAAAATGCATGTGGGTACTCAAATGGAAGCTCTTGATGAGTGTAACATCGGGATGAGCTTATATCTTTAGAAACCTCAATAGTTAAGAAAGTACAGTGCAATTTAACATAATTAAGAAACGACCTTGTATCTTGTGAACTGTTGACGTTTTTAAAGATATAAGGTCATTCCGACATTACACTAATTGAGACCTTTCATTTGAGTACCCACATCAATTTTTGATATATTTATATATATTATATACATGTATATATGAAAAACATATCAAAATGCATGTGGGTACTCAAATAAAAGCTCTTGATGAGTGTAACATCGGGATGAGCTTATATCTTTAAAATTGTTTATATTTAAGAAAGTACAGTGCAATTTAACAAAAGTAATTATTTAATAAAGCAAAATTTTATTTAATCATAGTTCGTAAGTCACGGCAGTCACATAGTGACTACAAGGTTGTTAGTTCTTCATATTTTCAATAGTTGGTTCAAAATCTCGAATTTTTGCAAACATTACAACTTCAAAAGCGATCACTCTCACGCCATCTAGCCATCTAGTGGTAGCCTCACGAACTAAAAATTTAATAGAATTTCTCTTGGCTAAAAAAGAGGTTTCAAAATGCGAAATTCTTGAATTAAAACACTCAGATATCTTTAAAATAATTTTTTTCTTGGATCAACAATATTTCTTCTTGATCACGCAGTTTTTTTTAGTGTAATATTCACAAAAAATCAAAAATTTTCTTTAATTTTTGAAAGTATATTCCGCTTTATTACAAACTATAAAATACTAAATTCCACTTAAAAAAAAAAAACAAGAAGTATGACTAAAAATCGCTAACTAGGTTATCCATAAAAAAAATCTCAATAAATCAGCTTGTGATCGTGATACTCAATAAAAATGACACGGCCTTTTAGATATTTGCTGATTAATTTTTTCTGCAGAGGACGTGTTGCCAAACGAATGAACAATCTGCAAATAAAGAATGAAGTATAAATGTGATCTACACTTAACTTAACTGAACGCAATCTAGTTCTTTCTCACACCTCGTACTAGATATAACACCTGACATCAACTTATATATATCGGCGTATCGATCTGTCGTATCGGATATCGTGTTAGCGTTAGTGTGCAAGTATCTGTTAAATATAATGCCCTAACAAGTATCGACAATTTTTTTAACGCCACTTACATTATTGCCTGTCTTAGATACAAATTACAAGTTTACAAACGTGACGATAAAAATCCTTTTCAAGTCAAATATAGACAAGACTAAATGCTGTTTATGAAGATGTATTGCAATCAAATGTTAATCCAATCTCCAATCTTGGTTTAGATTTAGAATTATACTTGGACTTTTTTGCTTTATTTATTTACTTTCAAAGGAAGTTGATTGAATCATCTGGCTATAAATGCACTTGAAAACATAACATTAGCACTCTCGATCCTCATATGTATGGATATAGTTATATATTATACTGTATAATGTATTACTGGTAATTTTGTATATTGGTGATGTGTGATGAGAGCAAGCGTCTGGTTGTCTGGTGGTTAACTGTGAAAAGATATTTAAACTCGTTCGCGTGGGTCTTTGATATCATGTACATGGTAATGACCTCGATTTATAAACTAATATTTTTATTTTATTATGTAATTTTAATCTTTAATAGTAAATAACTTAATTATATTTTTTTTAAATATCTATGAAATTGAAATCTGCAAAAATGGACCATTTTTTGGTTCTAATTAATAAATATACAGAGTCTTTATTTTGGCATAGTCTGCAAAACTTTCTGTTCATTTAAAAAAAAAAAATTTATATTTTTTATATATATCTCAATGAATGTTCACTTTTTTTTTTAATCAATCAAAAAACCTTAAAAAAATCTCTTTTTCTTGGTCTTTTGAGTGCGTACTAGCAACTTTGCAGTCACTATGTGACTGCCGTAACTTGTGAACTATAAATAAATAAAATTTTGCTTTATTAAATAATGACTTTTATTAAATTGCACTGTACTTTCTTAAGTATTGACGTTTTTAAAGATAGAAGCTCATCCCGATGTTACACTCGTCAAGAGCTTTCATTTGAGTACCCACATGCATTTTGATATATTTTTCATATATACATATATATAAATATATGAAAAATTGATGTGGATACTTAAATGAAAGGTTTTGAGGAGTGTAATGTCGGAGTGAGCTTATATCTTTAAAAACGTCAACAGTTCAAAAGATACAAGGTCGTTTCTTAATTATGTTAAATTGCACTGTACTTTCTTAACTATTGAGGTTTTTTAAAATCTAAACTCATCCCGATGTTACACTCATCAAGAGCTTTCACTTGAGTAGCCACATGCATTTTGATATATTTTTAATATATACATATATAATATATATAAATATATGAAAAATTGATGTGGGTACTTAATTGAAAGGTTTTGATTAGTATAACATCGGAATGAGCTTATATCTTTAAAAATGTCAATAGTTCACGAGATACTAGGGCATTTCTTAATTATGTATCTAAAGATAGAGGATTTTCAAATGCAGCCTAAATACTTATCATCATTAATTGACTATTGGTGAGAATGATATGAAAATATGAAAAGGCACAACTCCAGGTCGACTTTTCCAACGATACTAAAATTAACCATAAAAACCCATTTTATCATATAAATACACAAAATTTTGCTTATTCTCTTAATAATATAGATTGCAACTTTATAAAAGAAATTTTATTGTAATTATTTAATTGGTCCAGACTTTTGAGAGATAAAATTAAAAATATCCAATTGAAGTATTGAATGTACACTGAAAAATTGAAAGGATTGTTGTTATTATTGGAATAAGTCAGTAATATCTTGAATGAATATTAAAATTGTTGAATGAAGAACTTTCTCTCCATATCTTGGATTTTTATTTTCTTAATTCGTGAATGAATTTTTTGAATGAATTCGAGGCGAATATTTCATAAAAAGAGACAATTATTGAAAACAAAATTTTTTTTTTAATAAAATAATTTTTTTTCAACGTATAGATCAAGTTTGTCTCATTCAAAATTACTTAAAAAAAATGAGATCAATTAATCAATTTTCTTTCAAGATATCGTTAGCAAAAAGTACCCGTAACTTAATTGAGAGTTTACAATAAAACACTTACAAGGCAAGATGGATCATTAAACATAATTCGATATCGATACGGACAAATTGTAATGTCTATTATCGAAAAATGTATCTCGTGGAGTTTAATTATTAATTTAATATCAACAGCGCCCGTAAATCAGGAGATAAAAACCAGTGTGTGTTAAAAAAAAAAGCAAGGTTTAAGTACTAAAAAATGAGGAGGTAAAAAAGCTCGAGAATCGTTTTATACATGCATAAACAATGTGCATTACGATCTTAATTAGTTTCGTGTTTTGCGTGTCCTTTCTCATCTCGGCGCTTATATTTAAAAGTTTTTAAATCTTCGGAACGAATTAACTACACTTTGCAGTTAAGTGTACATGTACTACTACAACCACGCTTGAGTTCCCTTGTTCTGGCTCTTACTCTATTTGCTTTGTTTAGTTTTATCAGTCCTACAATTTAGCATTCGTCACATTCTTTTCACATCTTCACTTTATTTAAGCTTGTTATTTATTACAACCATAAAAATAACATTTTAATTACGGTTTTTTTTTTCTTTCGGGACCGCAAATAAGGGGAAGAGCTAAATCAAAAAATCGTTAAAGCGAATTAATCTCCTACTGAGCCGGTATTTCAATTGCTTATTTTCACAATTTATTTTTTATGCTCTTGTTAACCCAAATATTAATTTCATTAATTTAATATTATTAGCACTTTGAATTTCTAAATAATATTCACAAATTATGGATTTAATTGATAGTTTTTTACTCCGTATAATTTTCATAATAAAGATAACAATTTATTCACTGTAAATGTGCTAAATTCAATTAAAAAATTTAATTAAGAATTTTTCTCCAGATATTTACTTAAATTAATAATAAATATATGTGATGTGGTAAGTAGATAGTCATACAGTTGATGAGCGTGTCTCCTGATATGATTGCACTTTGAGTTTTCAGGCACGTGCAGACGATCATGATCATCATCATGACGTTAACCCTCAATATTAACCACTGTATTATTATGTTGCAATCACCTCAACCTGTATTACAAACTTATATGTACTTCATATACTTATATATGTTAATACAAGAAAAAAAGGTTCACTTGAGTCAAGAAAATATTTTTCTTCCTAATTATTTTTTTAAGCGAAAAAAATTGTTTTTTTCACACAAGAAATTTCACTTATTCCAACAAAATTAATTCTCTTGCTTTAAGAAATACGTATCTTAATCCAAGAAAATTTATTCAAGTCAAGAAAATCTTGTTGTTTTGAGAAAATTCAGCCTCTTGCTCCAAAAAATTTAGTTCTTGATAGAAGTAAATTTTCTTGTCTTGAGAAAATTTCTCTCTTGCTCCAAAAAATTAAATATAAAGATAGAAGTAAATTTTCATTAATGTTTTTATTGATTAACATGTCAAATGGGAAGATCAAATAATATTTCATCATTTTTTTTCATTTAATATGTATAATTGCACGCTAAAATAATATAAAATGGGTATCAAATATTCAAGAGAAAAATTTTCTCAAGGTGAGAAAATTTTTTTCTCAGCTGAAGTAGGTGGCGCTGCTGCGCTAAAGTATCTAAAAATCTTGATCAAATATAAAAATTTATTGTATCAAGTATTTATGATAATTTAAATTAAAAAAAAATGACTTCCACCAAGAATAGAATTTCAAGAAAAATTTTTACTTCGACCAACACAACTTCGGTCTTCCTTCAGGCACCCGAAAATTTTCTTGAGCCAATAATTTTGCTCTCCAGTCAAGAAATTTTTCTTTCTGTGTAGTTTAAAAAAATAATAATATGACTAACAAAAAATTCATTTTATTTCTGTTTAATGGAAATTAAAAACTTAAAAATTCTTCAAAATAAATTCGTTAATTCAAATTTTTTTTTTATTCAAGTTAATTTTTTATCAATGTCCATCTCGATAATCCATAACTCATGTGACATATCCATTACATCCCGACGCGTGAAAAAATAATATTAACATTATTCAAAATATTTGAGTCATTTTTTACTGCAACACCGGACATTTTCATTACCGAACAATTCGGTCAGAATTAACATAGTTATTATTATCGGGTATGAAACCGGTTGGATCAGGAAGAAATTAATTTAACTATACAAGAGTACATGAACATTAATCAACTATTTTTTTAAGTTTATTACTACTATTATTATTATTATCATCTTCATCGTCATTATTCCGAAGAAAACTTCTGCTCGATCAAAATTGGCAGGTCAGAGATTTGATATTATTTGGGTTAATGTTTGTTGAAATTGAAATGATTGTATATTATTAGAGGGAATTTGTGGTTGAAAATTGAAGATAATTTTAATACAGTTTATGAAAAGAACAAGATTTTTTTTATTAGTAGAATAAAATATTTTGTATGGGAAATTGAAGAAAAAATTGGAATATAGAATAAGATTGATAAAAACTAGTTTGCAAAAATTTTTTGTCTGCAATAAAAAAAAAAATTAGTCAATAAAAATTTTCTTTTGAAAATTTCATTTTTTTTTTTTGGTATATTCATTTTGAATTAATTCAAAAAATTCGATAAAAATTAAAGAAATAAAACATCACGATAATAAATCTTCATATTCTTAATAATTGATCCAAAATTGCGAATTTTTCCAATTATTACAACTTTAAAAGCGAGCAAACTTACACCACCTAGCCATCTAGCGGCAACTTTGTGAACCAAAAACTTAAAAAATTTTGTATTATCTTCGCTAAAAATAAAATTTTATTTTTAGATCAAAAATATTTCTTTTGAATCAACAATTTTTTTTTTTAGTAGAAAAAATTAAATATTAATTAAACTAAAAAATTAAATATTAATTATTGATTTATAAAAAATGGATGAAATTTTATTTTGTTACAGGTATCAAGAATTTTCAAGGATCCATCAATAGGAAACCCGATAAGTTTATCAATAACAAAAATAGTAAAAATTGAGGAGGTATTCGGAACGAGGCAGAATGGAACTGACGGTATAGCTGCTGCGGAAATGCTTAAAAAATTTTGCTACTGGCAGAAACATAATAACCCGGATGAGCCATCGCCGGAGCACCATGACGTGGCGCTTCTTCTAACGAGGTCGGTTGCCTGAATTAAGTTGAACACTTGAATATAAATAATATCTCGAGGAGAGTATAAATAAATATATAACGAGAGCGACAATTTCACATTGATTTTGTTGGTATAACTTTATATCTAGTTATGATCGAGACCAGTTTACATTACATTATCTGTTACTCTGTGGAAAATACACTTACTGTTCACTGCTCACTGTAATAAACTGTCTATCATATATTTATATCGATGTTGTTTTAATGGATGCGCAATTGCAATTACTATAGATATTCAATAAACGTCAAATCATTACCAGGGAATTTATTATATACATTAATAATCAATTCTCTTGGGAATTTATACTCCTAATGACAATAACGATGAAAAGAAAGAAAAAGAAACAAAGTCTTGAATAAATACTACTGGCAATAAAGTGTAGAAGCTATTTGCATTAATTTTAAAAATTATTTTTTAAATGGATTCATGTTATCCTTGAATTGAAAAAAAGTTATCGAATTTTATTTTACAAGTCACAAGATTCATTAATATCATAAAACTATTTTTATAATTAGAAAATTAATAAAAAAATTTTTTTGTAGTAAAAAAACAAAAAGTTTGAGAAATTGAAAAGTGCACGACTCATAATGCTCATTAAATTTTTAATAAAAAATATATTATACAGCTAATTGATAAAATAAAGTAGGAAAGAAAGAAATTGATTTTGCCCATTATTTTGCATAATTTTTGTAATTTATAATTTAATAAGCTAAATAACTTAAACTAGCAACCTTAAAGTCACTATGTGACTGTCGTGACTTGTGAACTATAAATAAATAAAATTTTGCTTTAATAAATAATGACTTGTTGAATTACACTGTACTTTCTAAAATAATGACTTTTTTAAAGGTATAAGCTCATCCCTATGTTACACTCCTCAAAAGCTTTCATTTGAGTACCCACATGCATTTTTATATATTTTTCATATTTACATATATATAATATATATAAATATATGAAAAATTGATGTGGGTAGTCAAACGAAAGGTCTCAATGAATGTAATGTCGGGGTGAGTTTATATCTTAAAAAATGTCAGTATTTGACAAGATACGAAGTCATATCTTAATTATTGATATTTTTAAAGATGTAAGTTCATCCTGATGTTACACTCATCAAGAGCTTTCATTTGAGTACCCACATGCATTTTGATATATTTTTCATATTTACATATACATAATATATATAAATATATGAAAAATTGATGTGGGTACTCAAATGAAAGGTCTTGATGAGTGTAACATCGGGATGAGCTTATATCCTTAAAAATGTCAATAGTTTACAAGATATTTGTTAAATCGCACTGTAATTTCTTAACTATTGACCTTTTTAAAGATCTAAGCTCATCCTGATGTCACACTCATCAAGAGCTTTCGTTTGAGTACCCACATGCATTTTGATATATTTTTCATATATAGATATATATAATATATAGAAATATATGAAAAATTGATGTGGGTACTCAAATGAAAGGTCTTGATGAGCATAACATCGGGATGAGCTTATATCTTTAAAAATGTCAATAGTTCACAAGATACAAGGTCATTTCTTAATTATGTGTCTAGAGATAGAGCATTTTCGAATGCAACCTAAATACTTATCATAATAAATTGACTATTGGTGAGAATGATATGAAACCTTGAAAAGGCACAAATTCAAGTCAAGACCTTTGCAATGACGCTAAATTTCACTAAAAAAAACCGATTTTTCACATAACTATCCTGAACACAAAATTTCTTTTATTCTCTTAATAATATAGATTAATTAAAAATTATCAAAATAAAGGGAAAGTTTCATTCATGAAAAACAGTGATTAAAACAACTCTTCACTATAAATTATATTTTTCTAACACAAACATAAACATAAAAATAATAAGTTCAACATAAATATGTTTACAGAGAAGATTTATGCCACAATATTGGACAAAGAAGGTGTGACACGTTAGGTCTAGCCGAGCTGGGTAGGATGTGTTCACCAGGATCTTCATGTGCAATAGCCCAGGATAACGGTCTGGCTGCAGCCTTCACAATCGCCCACGAGATTGGTCATGTGTAAGATAAATATTATGTCTATTGAAATGATATTACACCGTCTGATAAAGTGAAATCACCCATCACTATTATCATCATCATTATGCTTAGGATAAGTGTAAAAACTAATACAAATAACAATAAAATTTTAGTTTCAACATGCCCCACGACGACGACAACCGATGTGTGAAATTCCGCAATCGCTCGCCAGTCCACAAAGTAATGTCTCGGATGCTGGACGACAAAACGCATCCTTGGGAATGGTCCAAGTGCTCCCGGCACTACCTTACTGAATTTCTAGAGTAAGTATCGCTTATATATTCTCTTCATTTTATTTTATTTTATTTATCTTTTTAGATTAATTTTTACTTTATTGAAATTCTTTATAAAGATAGAGTTTCAGTCTCGTTTATTTACAGAGACACATATTTATGGGGCCGAACTTCCGGGTGAAATTGTTTTATATGCTCTGATCTTTAATTTATGCCACCACTAAACAATAACGCTATCTATTTACTGAACAATCCAGTTAAGTCTAGTGTCTAGATTCCAACCAAACAATTTTACTACCCGCGAAACGGTTCGTCGTTTTTAAGTACCAATTGTGTAATTTTTATGTTGCAACAAAATTCCATTATATATTACCAGTAACTTTATATCTAGTAAAGTATTTTTATTTTAGAACAATAATAATAATATTAAATGGAAAGCTTTAACAAAACAAGTTTCCAAAGTACATTTATCCACGAAACAACGGATAGGAATTAAAATAGAACACCTATCCTCATCAAACTAGCCTTTTTTTGTCCATCTTTAAATCCGCTCGCGGAAACATGCTGCAGCAGCTGTAGTTTTGTTGATTTCGAGCGTGCCAGTGCCCCAGTGCCAAGACTTGTTTGACAAAGAAATTTAGCGAAAAGCAACTAAACAAAGAAAACGGACATTCCACGGGCGGTTAGATCCATGAAAAAAGAAACAAAAAAAAAAAGGTTAACGAAACTAAACTAAAAAGAGTATTGTTTTTTTTCAGATCGGGCAAGGCAAACTGTCTGCTTGACGAGCCCAGAGATATGATAAGATCCGACTCGGGACGACTACCTGGGGAAGATTACTCGGAAAACGAACAATGCGAGCTTGTTTTTGGCCTCGGCTCCAAAATATGTCCTCACATCGAGATTGATGGTAAGTTATTGTCATTAGGATCTACTTATTTCGTTTTAGTCTTATTAACAACTTTGTTGCCCCGGGATGACAGATTTTATTCTATCGGTCAAGGGATTTTATTATAAAATGTGGGAGTAGTAACATGCATTCGGCATTAGCGGATAACTTTGAGTTATAATTTATAATTTATATTGTATGATAATCAGAAGTAAAAGAATGAATAATTGTAGCTCGGTCGGGGTCTTTATCGGCCAAGTGGTTGAACCCAAGGTTGCAAATTGTTTCATTTTTCAAAATTTTACATTTTTCATTTCAAATAATTATTACTAGCAACCTTACAGTCACCATGTGACTGCTGTGATTTGTGATCTGGAAATAAATAAAATTTTGCTTTATTAAATAATGAATTTTGTTAAATTGCACTGTACTTTCTTAAATATTGACGTTTTTAAAGATATAAGCTCATCCCGATGTTACACTCATCAAGAGCTTTCATTTGAGTACCCAAATGCATTTTTGATATATTTTTCATACATAGATATATATAATATATATAAATATATAAAAAATTGATGTGGGTACTCAAATGAAAGGTATCGATGAGTGTAATGTCG